TGGCAAGCCCTGAATATGTGACTTAGGCTTAGCATGAATTGTAGCTAAGGAAGCATGGCATGATGAAGAGGCTTGAGCATGGGTTGAATATCCAGCTTAATCACCGTGGCATGGCATGTTTGTAAATATATTCCTCGTCGATCCCATGCCTTGGCATGTATTTAGGCTTGAATGTAGGCTTTGCATGACAATTGGGCCTTGAGACTTGGTTGGATTGGTGTGTGACATTTTTGGGCCCCAACCGGGATATGAATAATTGAGATGGTGTCTAATATCAAGCAAGAGACTATTCTGTCTCTAAATAATTGGCTCCATTGCACTAACTAAATCTTTAATGGTATCCCATCATTCATTGTAGAAGCTTGCATTAATACCATGAAGCCCTGATGCCTTTGGGGCACCAATGTTTTTCACTGCCTTCTAAATCTCAATGTCCTCCACAAGTTTAAGAAGCATCTCATTTCGACTATTATCAATGCAAAGGGTAATAATATTAGCACAAGAAGAAATATCCACGGGTGAAGGAGGACAATCACAAGAAAAACGCAGTTTAACGTCTTGCACAAAAACTTGTTCAAGTCCTTCACCCACATTCCACCAAACCCATTATTATCCTTTATCCTCTTAATTTCGTTTCTTTTCTTCCGACTTGTTGCTACCGTTTGAAAAAAAACCTAGTGTTCTTATCACCTAATTGAAGCCAATTGACTTTAGCTTTTTGTGCCCACATAATTTCCTCCTACCTTAGTCTCAAACTCAGTTCTTCACTTATCTTAGTTTCAAGTTCCAATTCAGCATCAACATTTTAGTTTCTCATAATGGTCTCTTGGATCACAGCCAGTTCACCAAGGATGCATTCCTTGCGAACTTTCAAATTACCAAAAGTAGTCTTATTCCAATTCTTTACTAAGTACTTAAATGTATTTGCGCAAGCTCAAAAATTATTCATAGGACTGAAAACACCATTACACTTCCAAGCATCATTCACAAACTCCTTGAAATCAGGATGTAACAACCACACAGCTTCAAATTTGAAGGAATGGTTATGTTTACTACTAATGCCTGTTGAATTAAAAGTTAAAAGTATCGGTCCATGGTTAGACCCAAAAATAGGATAATTATGAAGACTATAATTAGGATTTTCATTTAACCAATACGAATTAGCCAAGGGACTATCAAGTCGTTCATAAATTCTATTACTACCTTCCTGATTATTACACCAAGTAAAAGGCACCCCAGAAGCATTAAAGGAAGTGGAGGAATTTGTTCATAAAAGTTGTAGTGACTTGGCAACCCCCTTTCTTTTCAGAAATGTCCATAATGTTGTTAAAATATCCCATTAAACACCACGGTTTAACTTTAGGATCAAGGAATAAAATGCCCTCCCACAACCCTGATTGTAAGTGTTTTGTGGGTATGCATAAACAAAAGTGAAGTAATGTTCAACATTTGAAGAAAGATCAATAACCACACAGTGTAAAAAAAAAAAATAGAAGAGGAAGTGATAACATTAACATCCACCTTACAAGAATTTCAGAACAAGCATAATCCCCTAACCCTACCAATAGGGCTACAACTACAAAATTTATCAAAAAACTTCCATAAAAGTTTCCTTGGACCTTATCCACATCCATCTTAGTTTTCATTAAACAAAAAGGTCCAAATTAAAGGTAGTACAAAGAAAAGTACAATTACTTATAAATTCTGGTCTACCAAGGCCTCTACAGTTCCACGACATACACATCATCAGTCAATCTCTTCAAGTAAACTCTCAAATTGAGCAAGAAGAGAGATTTTATTAAAAATTTCTAAATTATTTAGTATGCAAAGATTAATAATTCCAACACAAAATTAACAAAAGAACTTAGTTTATACCTCAGAAAATCTTCGAGAAATGAAAGAGACGCACCCAAAGGGAAAAACTGAGCTTGATCAAAACAATCTGACTTTTCCCCAACCTAATTTAACAAAGCCAAGAAAAGCCCCAAATTTTTAAAACCCTAACCCTAGAACTTTAAAACAGTTCGAAAACCCAGCAAAAGTACCCAGATCGACCAACAAAAACAACTTAAGAGCTAAAAAAACAACCTCAAAGATTGTAGAAATACAAATCAAAACCCAGAAATAAAAACCTAAACGGTGAAATGAATTCGAAAAATTTAAAGCAGGAAGCAACGGTAAGAAGATGAGATTCATAGAACGAAATTATTAACCCCCAGATTATCAACCACCAAATTATCAAATTAATTAACAAACTAATTAACTCGTAAATTAGCCGAATTGGGTAGAAATTTACCTGTGATGAGAAGAAGGGATTCGTCAAGGTTCTTTCACCCCTGGACTCATGTTAGCTTTCTTCGTTTTAAGCTAGTTTAACAAATATGTTTTTGTTGTGAAATTAAGGATATGTGTGCAGAGGAATAAAGTAAATAAGTCACAATATTTACAAGGTTCGGCAAGTATGCCTATGTCCTTGGGACAACAACAATATTTTTTTTTTCATTATTTAAAATAATAGGAGTACGCAAATAACTCTCATTGTTTTCTCTCTTCTCTCTAGCCTGACTCACTAGTATTTTGTTCTGCATCTCTCTTCTTCTTTTTGTTTCTCTGTTCCTTTCCTCTTTTCTTTATTTTCCTCCCTACGCTTCTCACTTTTGTTTTTAGTGGCCTTAGCCTTCATTATATAGGCAAATGAATAGGTAATGACATCATTGCTTACACAAGCATGATGTCATCCACTCAAACCAAATAATGGACATCGATTACCTCGTTAAAACCTTGATCTATTTTGGATGCTCTCCTTGATGAGTATGCTCCCTCATTTCAAATTCTTCAGTCTGACTTATTACAAAGTTGATGTAATCCGATACCATGCATGATAGTTGAAGTGTTTACGTTTGAAGGTGGATCACATGTGCTCCAAATTATAATATGCCACAAGTATTAGCCAAACACATCCATGACTAACTTCATGGAGATATGTATTTATGTGAGGTATGAAGATGCAATAACAAATGTTTGCTTCCTTAATCGTTGTACGATCAATCTATTTCAATATGTAACTACAAAGCCCTTTTTGTGAGCGGTTTGTATGCAAGCTAGAGAGATACTTAGATTTTGCTTGCCCAATAAAGACCATGGCTTTTGATGAGTTCTTTGGAATAAAACAAGCACATGTCTATAATTTCTTAGATATATCAATAGATAAACTTTATTTCATTTCAATACCCATTTGTTGATACTTTACTCCACAAGAAATGTAATAACAGATTAAGTGTATTGTGTTGGAAATATTGGCGATCCAGATGTTACTTCTCCTATAACAAATCGCATAAAATAAATATTAGTATATGATAATTTTCATTGCCACAATTAATTACATAAAACGAACAAAGAAGATAAAATACTTATCTTTGGTAGGTAGAACGCTCCTCGTCAATCCTTGATTAGAACAAGATATTAGGTTGAGACGTGTAAGTTTACTATCTTTAAGAGTAGATTTCACCTCTCGGAGACAATGTCTCAGTGTAGCAAGTTATGGCACCATACCCTCCAAAATATAACAACTTATGATCCTTATAAGCGTACACTCACAATACTTAAATTAGATGAATAACTAAATTTTTCCATTGGTACAAGACAATTGAATGACATAACAACACTTCAAGAAATAAGGAAAGGTCATATGAAAATTGGAAAAACAACTTGGTCTACCCTCACCCTTGTTATCTATCTCTTTCCTTTGTAACATGTTTTCATAATAATAAATATCATAATTATATAGCTATTAATATATATTAGAAATTAGGTAACTTAATTGTTCAAAACAAAACGGAAGGATAAATTTGTTGTCATAAATAAAGAATAAAAGTATAATAAAGGCAGCAACAATAAGATTGATATGGTAATCAAAATAAAGTAAATCAAAACACATTTAGTGGTTTGCAAATAACCAATTCAATAATAGTAATTATTGTGGAATAAAAATGTGGTTTTTCATTAAAATGAATAGTACCATAGACTTTTTATTAAAACTTCCTAATTTTTAGGGAGTAAAATGAGATGTATTTTGAAATACCTTAAAAAGTCCAATCTATTGTGCTAAATATTATAAGACAAATACTTTACTAATATATGGTACTTTTGAACTAAATATCAATTCATCATTTTCCTCACGAGAATGAATCATCTTTCTTAGTGTCTATATATTGGTTAATCATTTGAGTGTTCAACTCATAATCTTCAATTTATATGACTCTTTAGTAAGAAAACTGTTTATGTTTTTACGCATCTATGGGAGTAGCACTGTCAGTTCTCATGGCTTTCAAATTTAAATGAAACTTGGTTTTCTCCCCCATTTTCTTAGTCTTGAATAGCTATAGTGCTTAGAAACTAATATTTGATCATATATTCCATAGCATAACAAAAGTAGTAGTGTTTTTATTTTCGTTTCAGACAGATAAATGGGCAAGGAATCCGTAGTTGGGAACTATGTTTCCTTGGTTGGTCATACAATTTTGCAACTTATGAAATTATATGTTGATTAATTCAAACCAGCAGAGTGTGCAAAATACTCGTTAGAGTTTGTTAGGTGACCTGACTCATAGTTGGGAAGGTTTGTCACAGCATGTGCTTTATCCAAAGGCTTATCTTCACCTAAACATAATTCTTCTAGAACCTGCAATCCCATCACTTGTCAGGTACATCACAGTAGGTGACACTGTCATTTTCACGTGCAGGTTACCTAGTCTGTCCCACTCATTATTATTTCAAAATCCAACGGTTAAAATATAATTAGGCCAAATCTCGAAACATCTCTCATCGTCCGGCTGAACCTGGACGGGCTTCCATCCGCATACAAACCCAGCATCATGCAGACGCAAATAACAACGTCATGCTATAATCGCCCTCACCAGACGGGCCTATCCACTTCCAAGGGTATTTTCGTCATTCCACGCATCCCACTCACACTATAAACCACAGGCACTTCGATCACTGTCAATGCACCTCTCAGCTAACTACTAATTACTCCTCTCCCTCGCAGCGATCTCACTCGCTCTCTCTCTCTCCAACTCAGCTCATTCCGATCCCCCCAATTCCCATTCCCGATGGCCTCCAAGTCCAAAATCCTCTTCATCGGCGGCACCGGCTACATTGGAAAGTTCGTCGTCGAGGCCAGCGCCAAGGCCGGGCACCCTACCTACGTTCTGGTTCGAGAAGCTTCCCTCTCCGACCCGGCAAAGTCCAAAGTCATCGAGAACTTCAAGGCTCTGGGCGTCAATTTCGTCCTGGTTCGTAAAATTCCCAGCATTTTCTAGCTTTTTAATCCGATTAACCAATTGGGTTTTGCTTGATTTGTGTTTTTGTTTTAATTTTATTTTATATAATTTGTAGGGTGATCTGTACGATCACGAGAGCTTGGTGAAGGCGATCAAGCAAGTCGACGTGGTGATCTCGACGGTGGGGCATGGTCAGTTGGCTGATCAGGGAAAGATCATTGCTGCCATCAAAGAATCAGGCAATGTTAAGGTGAAAGTCTTGAATTTTTGTGGGTTACTCTGGTTTTTGTATTTTTATTTTTTTTTATTTTTGCTCTGTAAAATTGCGATTGTGAATGTATGAATTGGGCTGCAGAGATTTTTCCCGTCGGAGTTTGGAAATGACGTCGATCGAAGTCACGCTGTTGAGCCTGCCAAATCGGCGTTTGAGACCAAGGCCAAGATTCGCAGAGCTGTGGAGGCTGAGGGTATTCCGTACACCTATGTGTCCTCCAACTTCTTTGCTGGTTACTTCTTGCCTACTTTGAACCAGCCCGGGGCTACTTCTGCTCCTAGGGACAAAGTCGTCATTTTGGGCGACGGAAACCCTAAAGGTAAAACCTAAAACTACTTAACCATGGGTTCTGAATAGATGTATTTTCTGTGGTTTCATTTTATTACAATTTACTGCACAAAACCCACTTTGGCGTTTGGTAAATTATTCAGCAACCGATGAGTAATTGTTATGCATATGTGTGTTAGGCCAGGACTGTGTGCGCGCCCTTGTTGCACATAAATTTGACGTGTGCATGCCTTTTTTGCATCCAAATCTGTTTTTCCTCTGCGTAGAGTAGTATTTGAAGTATTACTTTGTCAAAAGAAAAAAAATGAAAAGGGATTTTCAATCTGTTTGAGTTGCAGCAACCGATGAGTAATTGTTATGCATATGAGTTGCAGCATAAAGCCCACTTTTGCGTTTTCGAAAATGTAAAGGGGTTTTCAATTTGTTTGATTTGCAGCAATTTTCAACAAGGAAGACGACATTGGGACGTACACAATTAGGGCAGTGGATGATCCAAGAACCTTGAACAAAGTCCTCTATATCAGGCCCCCTGCCAACACCATTTCATTCAATGAGCTTGTCTCTCTTTGGGAGAAGAAGATTGGCAAAACCCTCGAGAGAATCTATGTCCCGGAGGAGCAGCTGCTCAAGCAAATCCAAGGTTAGTGGCAATCATTGTCGGTCTGGGAACAACTGATTCGAATATTTTTGTTTGTTTCAAACATTTTGAGATAAATTTAAAATTGGTGGGTTTATTTTTGTGTCCTTTTTGCAGAGGCAGCGGTGCCGCTCAATGTGATACTATCAATTAGTCACGCAGTTTTTGTAAAGGGAGACCACACTAACTTTGAGATCGAGCCTTCGTTTGGCGTGGAAGCCACTGCTCTTTACCCTGATGTCAAATACACCACAGTCGACGAGTACCTCAACCAGTTTGTCTGAGATTTGGAAGCCTGTTGATGGTTTTATACGAGTGAAACTGACTATCGAGTGTTGATGGTTTTATGCGAGTGAAACTGGCTATCGAGATTTGGAAGCGTGTTGATGGTTTTATATGAGTGAAACTGGCTCTTTGCAAATAAAGAGTAGGTAGTTTGATGATTAGTGTATCTCAGGTTGTGTGGAAATAACTAGCATATGGGGATGGCTACTTCCCCTTTGTCGCATCTTTGTTTGTCGCATCTTTGTTCAACTCTCTGTACTACCTTTTGGTAAAATGACAGGAAAGACCTGGGTTGTAGATTTCTTCCCCTTCAGATTCTGGTTTTTCTTTTGAGTTTTGGTTCAACCTTTTGTGCCTTTTGGTTTTTCTTTTGGGTTGTAGGTCTCTCTCATTTCGGTTGGAAAACTCTTCTATGGAAGTTACGTTAGAGCATCTATAAGGGAGATACATAATGCCTTGAATCGGGCATTTTATAAATAGAAATGAAATTATCTGGTAAATTTTTTACGACGATTTCTATAAACGCAACAGATGTAGAATTTGACTGTTATAATTTTACATTACCTACAGGGAAAGGGGTTGCTTAGCCTTACAATATGCTAACAATAATGTGATTCAAATTTATCTTTGGTGAGAGTAGAACCTAATAAAAAGTAAATATGACGTTGATGTTGAATTTGACTCCTAATGACAAAGACTTCAAATTCAATCAGTAAATAACATTTTGGTTGAAATGATTTTTCATGGCAAATATATACATTAGGATCTTCACCTAGGATTTAACAACTCATGTGAATTGTTGTTGCCAAATACGCACAATAACATCTTCACTTAGGATTTGATATCTCATTTGAAAATGCTACTTTTGATTCATTGAGTAGTCAAATTTTCTTTCATATAGTTTAGTGAAAATACGTATGTGAATGTTGTATCAACTATTAAGCATGAACAAATATGTTTTTAACACTTGTTTTCTGATTCCTGGAAAACTAATCCCAATCCTACTAAAAGCAGGAAAGTAAAAATAGACCTTATATATCAGTTTCCTTTTCGTTTTATTTCGTTTCTATCCGCTGCGCCCTGCATCAGTTAAGGAGTCAATTTTCAATCTTCAAAGTGAGCTTCTTAGTTGGAATTGTTGCGAATTACATAAGGAATTTCTCTTATTATGTATCTATAAATCTTACTTCTGTGTTTTCCTGAGCAGGGCAAGCTTGCAACAGTACAATAACAAACTGCACAATGACTTCTTAAAAGTAAAGGAAGAATTTAAGTGTTTGGAGAAGGAAAAAGTTGATATGGTGGAGAGCCTGAGCATGTTAAAGGGTCGTGTTCTATAGTTCTGACTTTTGTTTTTTCAGTGCATTTTAAATGGGTAAGGATAGGCCAAATAATATGAAATTTAAGGTTGGTTTCCCCTTCATGTGTTCTCTTTCAGATTTTTGTTTCTGAAAATGAATTACTTCAAAACTTTTATTGGCAAAGTTCTTTTGACCTTTTTTGGGTTAGCCACTCACATTTTGGTTTCTCATTTGAACTTCTATTGACAAAGTTTACTAGAATGTTCAAAAACAAAAAAAAATAAAAAATAAAAAAAACAAAAAAATAAAATAAAAAAACAAAAAAATAAAAAAATCAACTATTTCACTGTTCGGGATGATAATTTATATCCAATATGATCATTAGCCAGCTAGAGAACCTGATTTCGGAAGTGGGTTTTAAAGTTTTAATAGTTTTGTCGTGTGTAATTTTCTTGCTTTGCCCACCAAAAATCTAATAACCAAAGGCTTAGTTGTTTTCCCCAAATGGTTTTCATTTTGTTGTAGGTAAACAAGAGCTACTAAACTGTTATGCAGCAGGGGAATGGAAGGAAAGTAAAAATTCAAGCTTTTAATCAAAGAGAAATGGTGCGACACTAAAAAGATAGATAAAACTGACTAATACTTTCTTTCCATTTAAATATAAATCAATTGATTAAGTTCGTGTTTAAAATGAAGTTTCAATTGTTTCCGAATTCTAACAACGATCTCCTATGCATTAAGATAATTTATTTATAGTTTTGATCCACTCTTCATTATGCATAATTTCAATTCTTTTCCATATAGAGTTTCCATTTTTCTTAAGGAAAATTAACGAAAAATCCAAAAAAAACTTTTGTTTTAATAAAAAATGACAAATAAAGGTGTAATGAATAGTACAAGGGAAAGGTAAAAATGTGATTTTTCGTTAAAAGTAAACAGTACCGAAAGTGTTTCGTTAAAACTTTGATTTTCTTACGAGTGAGAGAAGAAGCTTTAATTTGGGTTCACAATTTTCCCTTTCTAGCTTTTCGAAGTAGGACTAAGCCTTCAAAAGGCATTTCAGGTAGGAGTGGGCAAACGACGGGTAATCACGATTCGGGACGGGTACAGGCTGGTTCGGGAAGGGTAAAAGGAGAAACAGGGCAGGCCGGGCCGGGCCTTTGAAATTTTTGGGGCAGGTCGGTTCCAGAAGTCTAAAAACAAGGGTATCCGAACCAGCCCGTTTGTAACATTTTCCCATTCCTCTCTTATTTTCTCACACCTTCTCGAAGTCTCCTCTCCTCAGTCCTCCCTTTCAGATCTGTCGATTCTCAATCTCCTCCCTCTCAATCTCTCTCTCTCACACCTTTATTTTCAGATCTAGAGGGAGAGAAGCAATGGCTATGGCTATGGCTCCATTTCCGTCTCCAACCGAACACACAGTTGCTTCGACTCTGCTTCGTTTTAATCTGTGCGTTTTTGCATTTCGATCGTTTTAATATCTTCTGATTCATTTGCTTGAACTTGCAGGTTGTTTGGACGACGATTGGGAGCGAAGCAAGATCGAGGGTTGCAGAGGAAGCTCGGTTTCTGGCGATTCCATTTCCACCAAGTCCTGTGCTTCTTTAATCACTACCAGTGATATCTCAACGGATGAGATTCGAGCTCGTAAGATCAGGATCATGGCTCTTGCTGCTCTTCGTCATCAGAGGAAAGATTTAAGGAGGTATGTGTACTATGCGTTTTCGTCAATACTTTCTCAAAATTTGCCTTCATCGTTGGTATCTTTTAACAGCATTTTGTTTTCCATATATAATTGTGCAATATCGAAAACGCACAAACGTGAAATGGGTTTTAGGTTTTTTTATTGAAATGTGTATTCCGTACTACTTTTTTTTTTCGCCTAAAAATTTGAAATAAATATGATCTTTTCACTATTGCTTATTCTTCCAAGTTTTTTTCCACAGAATATAAAATAGAAATAAATATTTTGTTTCCCTTTTTCTATTTTGTTCTTTTGCAGCCAAAAAAAAAAAAAAAAAAAAAAAACAAATGATTTTGTTGGTACCGTTTCTTTAGTGAAGCAACGGTTTCATATTGTGAACTGTCTTTGTGTGTTTATCACTTTATTCTTTATGGTTTTCAGTTTCCTAAATGAAGTTTGACGTGCATGGAATTTGACAATTTATAACCATAAGCTTCATTCTGCCCATGAACACCTATTTTGTTTCTTATTATTGGTAGAATTGTATATAAATTTGTACATGTATGTAAATAGTATTGTCTACTATATATACCTTCATATAATTTTGTTAGAACTTCTATGTGTTACACAATTTTCAGTAGAATTTTCAATCCCGTAGCAACGCGTAGGCACCTTTGTTAATTCCATCTAAAATCAATGTCATAGTATGCATAGGTATGTATGAAATTCAAATGAGGCAAACATGTTATTCTATTAGATTTTAATTGAAAGCAGTTTATAGCTTAAGTAGTTAAGAACATAGTAGTATGTTCAAATTCTCCTATTCGAGTTTCTGATTCGAATTAGGGGTGGTCAATCATATCAAAAAATATTTGAAATGTTATCTGAAATAAGCAATTGATTCTATGTGCTTTCTTCAAGAAACAATCCCAAAAACCAATCCAAGTGTTTTTCCAAGAAGCACTTACACTTTTCTTAAAAAAATAGTGAACTCCAAATAGAAGTTTTTTTTTTTTTTTTGGTTAAACGAAAGATTTTGTTAGATTAGATGTTAGATCAATCACTAACGGGGTTTGAACCCATGTCATTATACAAGGGCACAACACATTTCCATTAATTGTTAGCACATGCATGTCAGGCTCACATGTGAGGTTAAAAAGATAAAGTTAGTCTCACATATAAGTCTCATGTGCTAACGGAGAGATACATTGTAGTCTCATATGTGTAGTTCATATACTAATAATTACAAAGAGTTGGCGGAATTTTTTAGTTTGAGCCTAAATTCGAATAAACTTTACCACAAAAGCTTAAATTCTTTTTTTTTTTTTTTTTAATAACAAGAGCTATTTCCGATATCTCTGGACTAATAATCCTATTAGGCCTAAAAATACTAAAGAGATCTCATTGTATGACATAGAAATCTAATTGTATGACCATGCAATGTGGTACATTTGTCGGATCATATGAACCAAAGTATTCTAACAATCAAATATAAATGTAAACACTTTTACCAAAAAGGAATATAAATGTAAACACTATTCTAACAATCGAATATAAATGTAAACACTCATGTAAATTAATATAATTAAATCTCCAAACATATCTCGGAACGTAAGTGACATTTTACCGTAGTAATGAAAAAAAATTAAACTTTTACATAACGACGTTGATTCAAACTTCGATTTAATATAACAAAATCCACCTATTTTTATAAAAAAACACACACGCACACGCACATACACATACACATTTCGGAAACCGGACGGACACCCATCCACCTAACAACCCATCATCATGCAGACGCAACACCAACGTCATGCTATAAATCGTCCTCACTGGTACGAAGGCTATTCAAATTCCAAGGGCATTTTCGTCATTCCATGTATCCACTGACACTACGAACCAAAGCCAATTTGATCCCTTACCAAAATAATAATAATAATAATAATATTGAAAATAATTTGAAAATTTTGAGTTTTAATCAGAAAGATAAAAATATGTTGTAAGTAATAAGTGATTTTATAGAATAAAAATGTTATTTTCGTTAAAAGTGAACAATACTAAATGTACAAAAAAGCCCCAAAAAAGAAGAAGATGGATATGCATTTTTATTACACCGTCATGGAGAAAATATGAGTGGAAGGGTCATCCAGCATACATTCTCCTAGTCACAATAAACAAAAAAGCCGTCAACCTTTTCTGGGAAAAAGCACTAGTGTAAGAAAATTTTACAACTAAATCTATAATTTCTACAAGGTTCTATGAGCTGATGCTGCACAAGTATTACGTTGACAATTATTAAATGTTTATAAGGGGGCCCCCCAAAACTTATGACAATTGATTTTGCACGATTCTATAAGTTGATGCTGCATAAATATTAATAATCTTCGCCAAATACTAAACTACTTCATAATCCATTCCAACTCTAACAAATATACATGATAACTAAACTGCAAAAAATAAAAGGAACCTAAATGAAAACAAAAGCAGCACAATGTAAAATCACCTTCTCCAAACACTCGATCAAATAAAAACTCAATCAAAATCTTCAAAACTAAAAAACCATACCTGCAAAAAGCAAAAACAATCCAAAAAAACTCAATGCGGCCAATTAAAAACTGAAAAATTAAAGAATCGTTTCAAAATCTAAATCGAAATAAATTCAAAAACACACAACACTTCAAAAATCTAAATCGGAACAGATAAAATTAAGAGAGATACAATTACCTTCGAAGAAAACTTGAGAAGTAAACATCAGAGAGAGAAAAATAGTAGAGAAACGAAAATAAAAATTGAATGATTCGAATATAAGAGAGTAAATCTTAACCAATATTTCCGTCAATCACCGCCGATCACGTTTGACAGAAAAAGGAAGGGTAAATACGTAAAAGAAAGCGCTACTTGGGAGGCAACCCAATACACTGAATAAAAGAAAGCATGTCCATTGATCTCCGAGAAATTACAAGTGCGTACAAAAAAAAAAAAAAAAAAAAAGAGAAAGAAAGATGGAGCTTTCACAAAGGTTGTTCACGTGAAGCCCCACTACTTGGCAAAACTCCAGGAGCGGGAGGCATCGAAGATAGATCATTCGAGGCCTCAATACTTGGTGGAACGCTAGATGACGCAGGAAAAAGGTGCCTCTGGAAGAAAGTCGCAAGCCTTTGACGGTCAGTTTGAATTCGACCTTCAGATTCTTGCAGCTGATCAAGCTTCCTCTTCATGCTCGTCGAATAATTATTTGCAAGCACGTGCAAACCTTTATTCTCGCGCTTAAGCTGTTTGATCTCTTGCTTAAGATTTTCCACCTCCGCCATCAATGATTCAACCTGACGGGATCGAGCAAGTAGCCGTTGGCCCATGTTGGACACAGAGCCCGCACACTGAACACTGGGAGCTAGGGACTCTTGAACGGCCAACTCATCGGACCGTCCTGAAAGCAGCCTACTATCTTTAGGAGTGAGGAGGCTCCTAGCTACTATCGTAGCTGTTGTTGCATCCGTCATCACGTAGTCTTCACCTGTAAGAGGGCCATTAGAAGATAAGAAAGACGGGCACCATACATTACCCTGACGCGGCGCACCCGTATCACTGCCGAGACTCAAATCTAAGCAAATGTTAGATGGGTTAGCCATTTTCAAAGATGTTAAAAGAAAAGGGTTGGATGGAGTAAAATCTCAAAGGGCCGGAGACGATTTTCACGAATGGGCAATCTTCAAAGTGTGCATGTTAGAGGTGATCGATACCTTTATAAAAGGAGAGGCGACACAACCACCGATTCAAAATTGAAGAGACGCCACTCTTCAAATCTTAAAAGCCGGATTTTCCTGCGTAAAGTTCGTCAACACTCTTCAGACATAATCTCGGCTTTTCAGATAACGCACTTTTGCCGACAAGCGTGGGTGACAAAGCCGCAATCTCGACTTTTCAGATAATGCGTGCAGCTTTGTCAAAAGATCTCTGACAAAGTTGAAAACGCGTGGAGGTCATTATCCCAACTACCACACTTTTGCCGACAAGCGTGGGTGACAAAGCCGCAATCTCGGCACTACTACTTGCCATTAAAATTCCTATATACGTCAACATTCATGGCAAGGCATACATCCAAAGACGCATGACTTTTCTTCTCGGCCGAGAATGTAGCTGCAACCAAACCTCTCAACATGCTCAGTTTTCTTCTTCCCTTGAGAACACCTATCCAGCCCTGCTCTCAAGTACTCATTTTTAACCATTGATGTACCCCCAAAGAAGATACCAGATGCCTGGAGTACAAATGAGGCAGGAGGAAACGGTAGATCGAAGCATGTGGAGACAAGCGCAACAAATATATGTGCTGATTCATTCGCTGCTTCTTCAAAAGCAAAAGTATCTCATATCATCAAGGGCAAAAGCAAAGGTATCTCATATCATGCTCTTTCCCTGTCTTTTCCTTTGTCCTTGTTCTTACTCGCATGGCAAAGAGAAAGAGAGCAATCAGCCGGCACTTGGAGTCAGTCTTCCGATCTGGAACCGACTACCTAGAATCTATTACCTGGTTGCTTACCTAGTGTTGCTCTCGAGTAGTCATCTTCAACGATTGATACACTTCCAGAGAAGGGACCACATCTGCTTGGAGAAGCAGCGAATGAATCAGCACATATATTTGTTGCGCTTGTCTCCACATGCTTCGATCTACCGTTTCCTCCTGCCTCATCTGTACTCCAGGCATCTGGTATTTTCTTTGGGGGTACATCAATGGTTGAAAATGAGTACTTGAGAGCAGGGCTGGATAGGTGTTCTCAAGGGAAGAAGAAAACTGAGCATGTTGAGAGGTTTGGTTGCAGCTACATTCTCGGCTAAGAAGAAAAGTCATGCGTCTTTGGATGTATGCCTTGCCATGAATGTTGACGTATATAGGAATTTTAATGGCAAGTAGTAGTGCCGAGATTGCGGCTTTGTCACCCACGCTTGTCGGCAAAAGTGTGGTAGTTGGGATAATGACCTCCATGCGTTTTCAACTTTGTCGGAGATCTTTTGACAAAGCT